GAACGGTGAGGCTTGCTTATCCAGCCAGCCATCTGTTTATCATGAGTGCTGGTCTCAGCCTTTCCAACGTAATGCTTTCTGGTTCTTAGTCCTGTGAGAATATAAAGAAAACCTAAAAAACAAATGAGCAAAGAGTAACTGACAGAAAAAGCCTTTCAAAGAAAAAGTCTTTCAAAGAAAAAGCTAAGGAAACCTTATTTGAGGTCAAGGCAAGGCTGAAGATTAAAGCTAGACATGAGGAAGAACTTCCTGGGAGCTCCCCCGCACCCCGAGGGGGGCGTGCCCTCTCCTTATTTGGAAATCTGTTTTAAATGGGTGAAGCATTCTGTTTCTTAGGCAGTGTGAGTGTAACAAGTCTTTGGAGAGGTAGGTGGCCTCCCAGAAAATCCATCCAGCTTAATGATTATGAATCCCCAGCCCCTAACTGCCATGAGGTTTGAGCCCCATATAATTTATGCATGTTTTTAATTGCAAAGTCTTCATTGAATCAAAGTATTCAGAGCGGCAGTGGGCCCAAGAGGTCACCTAGTCCTGTCTGCTCATCACGCAGATGAGGAACTGACACTCAAAGTCTGAGAGACTGTCCCATGATCTGAGTCTACAGACCCTGCTTCTCTCTCACACAGATTCAAATTCACCATAAATTCTAAAGTAAGATATAGACATATGCAGCAGCGTGTATGAGAAAAAACTGCCTGGCAAGGACCATCTCACATTGTAATCACGGTATTCACTCCTTAGCCTAGTGTGAGGTGTTCGTGAGAGAGAGAGGGGAGAGGGATGCACAGGTGAAAACTTCACCCAGTTCTTGCTTGCCCTCCAAGCTTCTCTCTCTGGTTGGCGAGGTAACACGTAAACAAGTGAAAAACCAAATCATGTTACTAGAGAAAAATACAAGCTTGGGACAACAATAGAAGGTTTGTATGAAGGTGCTTCAAGATGGGTTACTCTGTATAGAAACTGGCTGATAGGCGATCAGGGTCAGGAGCCATGTGGTCCTAACTGGTCTGGACCCAGAGAAAAGCTCCCCGAAGCAGATGAGGCGGGAGCTGCCCAGAAGGGTGGATGGATGAACAGCCCAGGAAGCGATGCACAGAGCTTCACCGCACGTTAGACAGTGCTGACTTCGGACGTCTTTCCCTCAGTAAGAATCGCTGTTCAACACTCTGACCTTACCTCTCGGATGACAGAGTAGGAAAGTTTCTTTTTTCTTCCTCACAGGAGTTTAATCATCCATCTCCATTTCGTTGACAAGGCCCATTCCACCATCTTCCACCTGTACCATTCACCTAAATGCACTATTTTTCCCTTGACACTGTGTGTGTGTGTGTGTGTGTGTGTGCACACGTGTCTCATTAGCATGTTCAGACCACACTAGGCATAGTTCCATCTACAATTCTTGAAGTTTACTTTCTAGCTTCTGGGCATCATTTGCAATTATAATGTTGTCATAGGCAGAAAAGAGATAGACTAATTAATCATTGTCAGTATTGGTTTCTATTTGCCAAATGAATTTTTTGAACAGCATAGCTGGAAACAAATTGTATCAAATTATACATCTCCTTATTTTATGTCATTGAAAGAATTATTTAGCATCATGGTCACTCTACATAAATATTCTGGTAGCAATAGGATATAATGAATGGCATGGATTCATTCGTTTCCACCAAATTATGTTCTGAACACCTATTTCAATATGTGAACTACACTGAATCTAGAACATTGGGCTTCTGAAGGGCCTTTAGTAGCTTCTGTAGTTCCCTGAACTTGACCAAGACCCTTCTGATCACCTGCAGATAAACAGAGTTCACAGTTTCACTTCTAGAAGCCATAATTGGTAGATCCCTCATTATCTAATTCCTGGAAATTCCACTAGTCAGCTGGCTTTCTAATGGGTCTCCTGTGATTACTCGGACTGATGGTTCACCCATGGGACTTTGCATTCATGAGCTGATAAGTCATAGCTACTCGCTGAGATTATCTTTGAGACACCAGGATGTGTCTGTCTCTGCTAGAGCCGCTAGTCTGTCTACTTGCTGTAGGAAGGCCTCCTTTCTCCCAGAGGGAACAGTGATTTCAAATACCCAGAAGTGTCAGGGATCATCAGAGACACATGGATGCTCAGTCACAGCTCTTCACAGGCCTCCTGGAGGCCCTGTTTGACTTCTGCTCCCTTTCCTCAGCCCTAATTCCCGAATTTTGTCGTTAACCCTTGTTTTCACATACGTTGCGGTTAGCTAGCTCAGTGGGTACCCTAGAAATACACTTCCACTCTAACACATAATGACAACAGCTGCCACTTATTGTCTTTTCCTAGCCATCATGCTATCAATTCAATTATTTACATAATTGTTTTATTAACTTCCCACAAAAATTCCTATGGGGAACGTAGATATTTTTAATCCCATCCTAAGGATGACTAAACAGAGGACTAGGATGGTGAAGTTTCTCGCCCGAGGTTTCAAACCTCACAAGAAACCCAGCTATGACCCAATTCCTGGGCTTCTTGAGTCTAACGCTCACACTGCTTTGCTTGACTTCTCTGAACCAGCATTTTCTCTGTGCAGTGAGCAACTTATATGAGATTTCCTGACTCCAGATTCTATTTGATGTCTCTGTGAAAAGTGGTTGATAACTCTTTTGAAACTTGAAACGTGTTTAGGGAACTGAGAAATGTCCTACTGAAAGGGAAGGGATGTAAGACTTTACATCCATCACATGTCATGGTCACACGCAATACTATATTCTCAAATAGCTCTTGAACAAGATATAAGTGGGTTTTGTAATTTAAGGAAAATCTATGCATTCATCCTTACAGTATCTTTGTGCGTGTGCTCAAGCCAACAATTTGACATGAGTTCTGCGGTGACGCTGTCAAGGGCACTGCTGCTGGCTGAAACCCAGCACAGGAGGGACTTTCCGGAGGCGAGCAGGGAAAGGGAGAGAAGCTGACCCCAGTCGTACGCGTCCTCCTTTAAAGATGATGACAGTCGACCCAGGGACATCCAAACATCCTACGAGTTTTCCCTGCATCCACATAATCAGATTTCATTTTTGATTCCCCAGCTATACAAATGATGTGCTTAAGTGATGCTGACTCCAGGACACTGACTTCATCTGTCATCCAACACAGAAAGCCTGTGCCTGTCAAGCCTCGTGCTTGGTGACTGAAGTGAGCCATCTCTGTCTGCTTGCTTTGTAACTCAGTATTTCCACCCATTCTCCTTAAAGTGAATATGCATGGGAGCAGGGCCATTTCCTGCAATACAGCAGCAGCTCCTCCTGTGAAAAGTCAGCCCACGTAAAATAGTTCAAAGCAAATGCTCAGAGAAACGGGGTTTCAGGGTAATTACATTTTCCAGATCTTCACAGGGGTGTAGGTTTGGCCAGCCTTGGGTTGAGACCTTTGTAATATCCACCTTTAACAATATTAATATACGACGGACGCAAAGCGACTGACCGCTGATGGCAGTTTAGCTGCCCACAGGGAGGTCAAGGCTAAGGACGATACCATGCATGAATGAGCAGTGTGGAGGCCCAAGTGCCCAGAACAAGGCAAACATCGCCGCTGGAGTCTTCCGCGGGAACAGGGGTCCTCACACACTATTACTGTTTCAGAATATGACCCTTCTGGAACCATCGGTCTTGCCACCAGATGATTTAAAACCACTTCACAAGTATTTGTTCCATCCGGATATATATCTGAATATAGCTCATAAGTAACAAATTATAACAACAAATACTGACTCTGAAACAGTGCTTCAAGTATTCATTAGTCATTGCTGCTGACCCCCTCCACCCCACCCCTCCCCTTGCACCCCTCTGGGAGTTACACCCCACACAGTTTAGCTCCTTACAGCCTACCTTCCGTGCTCAATGCAGTTTCCTGTCTCCTCAACCAGACTGGAGGCGCCTTGTGGACATATCCAGTCTCAGACAGTCGTGCATCCAACCAATCACCCTTTACAGTTGTTTCAGAGTCAGCCACACTGGTATTGCCGAGCTACCTATACCTGGCCTGATTTCTTACCGCTGAAGGGAAGAAGGGCACCTGAGGTCCGTCTCAGGTGGGAAATGGTCAGCACCTGGAACAGAAGGGGAGGCGCCCGGATGCTTAGGGGGAAGGCGGCACATCCGGTCCACGACTCTGCTTCCTCACTGGCCTCCTCATCCCTGGAGAAAACTCAGCATCTGATTCACTAGAAGAAAGCCTCCTGTGCCCAATTTCCCAAGAAGACCCTGCCCAAGGGGGGCGGGGCAGAGTGGTCTTCTCCAGAAGCCCCACTTCACTGGGGTTCTGTAACTGTGACTGTAACCTCATTATTGTCCCTCAGGGGTGACTTCGGGTCACTTGCTTACCAGTCCTTTCTCCTTCCCCTTTCTCTCCGATCCCACCTGATGGGCTGAATCCAAAGCAGGTAACCTCAGCCACAGGCACTGATCAGGATTGGGGGTGCACATGCTAATCCAAAGTCCACCAAAACAGAAAAGAGCTGAGAGGAAAATGTCTCCACCAAAACGCTGTGAAGGACTGGGTCCCCAAATACCTACAATGTCGGAGCAGGGAGCAGGGGTAGGTTTTGTCCCCCGTGCCTGGTCAACTCCTGAAGGCACTGCTGGGTCAGGGCGGGCTTCTCCGGCGCCGAGCCCGCAAACCCCACCCTCCGAGGCCCTCTGGGGGACCGGCCTGGCCAGAGGAAAGGCCGGGCGTGGCCCTGGCTGGGTCCCAGCCGAGACCCCTCAGAGAAGATCCCGCTGAGGAAAAGCAAACAGGCCCGGGACGCTGCCCTTTGGACCTTTTGCAATTCGCTCGGCGTGGTTAAGCCAGGCGGCTGTGACCCTGGGCGGGCGGCCTCCTATAAATAGGGCGCGGGCGCGGGCCGCGCATTCTCATCTGGGTGCGGGGCGCCTGCCTGTGGGTGCCCGCGCGTGCAGCCAGCGAGCGGCGTGAGGAGAGGCCCAGCCCGCGAGGCGCGGGGAGGGAGCCGGCCAGGTCGGCCATGGGCGCGCCGGGGCCAGCGCTGCTGCTGCCGGCGCTGCTACTGCTGCTTGCCCCCAGCGCCCGGGCC